CTGCTTGTACGTCTAGCCGGCGGCGCTGACCGTGAACGGGCGTTCCTCGATACAGGCACNGAGCGCGAGACGATGGCCGCGTCGTCAGCGTAGAGCATGGCCCACAAGGCCTCCACGTCCGTCACCATCGTCGTCTTCTTCCCCGCCGACCTGCCCTTCTTGCCCGTGTACTCCACTTGTGTCCCGATCTTGACCATGTCCGCCGTCACCTTGGGGTCCTTGTCGCACTCGGCCACAGCTGTGCCGGGGCGACTGTACCCCCACTGATGATGTGAAGTTCGAACCCTGCAACCAACCGAGAGTGAAACTACTGGTGGCTGGGCTCGCGCTCACCGCCTCTCCCACCCTCGCACCATCCAAAGCCTACCGCCTACTACACAACATACGCACCAAAGACGTACGTGTGGAACACACAAACAACTCGGTTCGGCCTTGCTTCTCATGACGTTTATGCCAGGTACTACATGTCCTACTCGCACCATGTTTGTTGTTGTTGTTGTTTCTCACATTAGCTCTAAAAAAAAAAAAGATTGGGAGCCCGTGGTCTCAAAACCCGGCATACACGACCCCACGAAGAAACAGAAAAAAATAGGGTACAAAAACCACTCGGAAGAGAAACAAAATGATAGAAAGAAAGACCAGCTACCGCACCAAACTACCATGATAATACCGGATTACCCGATTGCCCGGCGAGGTATGTACAGGATGAACAGGGTGGGTCGTGAAACGTGCTGTCGGACTATCCCAGCTGCAGTGGTGTCCCGAGTCCGGGATGCTGCGGTGGTGGTGAGTTGCGTTTGTTTGAAAACGGCGTTCCCAACTGGATGAGAACAATCGGACGTAGGTTATTCCAAGATCTACGTAGATGTGGGTAGATAGACCCTATTCCCACATCTTCGCGTCATGCGGGGAAACTTCGAAATGCGGTCGGAACCACTTTCCTTAACTGTTTACAAAGAGTGTGTGATGGTCGTGACACGCCCGAACCGCAAAATATTGAGCTCTCACTGCTGTGCGTCGTTTAAGCCTGCGCTGTTCCGAACGTATGCTGTACAGGGACGATCTTTCGGGGTGGTTGTGGGTCGTTTTTACGATGATGTGCCTGTAAAAACCTCCTGATTAAAATGTTTGCGTCTGTTCTGACATGCTGGTGTGGCGACAATTTCATCGCATTTTTTGGGATGAAAGGTTCGAGTGGCGATCATCATCCGTTGGATCTTTCCGGGAACGAACGGTTCGAACCACCTGTTGCGTTCGGACGGAGGCCCGTCCAAGCACGACACCACCATCAGGACGGACAGCCAACTTCTTCATACTCACAACTCACCAACCACCGAAACTGCAGCTGGGAAAACCCGACAACGTCTCTCACGGCCAAGCGGTTTCCCACCCGTCCGCCTCTAAGTCGCCGAGCGACCGTTACATATGCTACTGTGAGTGTGATGTTATCGTGTCACGTGAGTTAGTGGTGGTTCCTCGTCGAGAGAAGCAAGCCGAACCCGGTCCCACGTGGCGGTGCGGTCCGTGATGTTCGTGAGTTTCACGCGTGTTTGGTGTGAATGTTGCCGTGGGCCGTGCGCATTGACTGGGACGAGAGTGGACGGGGCGACGGGCTACGGGCTTTTTTCGTTCTCCCCTGGAATACAGGGTCGCGCTGTCGCTTGTGGACTGGCGTCGAGCGTGCGAGCGATGACGGCACAGACAGACGTTAGCAGGCGGGTTCATTCTAACTTATTTCCCGCTGCGTTTACTGATCATTTCAACTCATTTCAAGCCGTCGTTTTCTTCCCTCCAAGATACCGTTGGTGCTGCTGGCACGAGGAGTTCCAAACTCTACAACATAACATACTGCTTGCCAACCACTCCATTATTTTTGTAAAGGGTTTGGGCTCGACGCTGTGTGTTTCTTGTTCGGCGACCCAACGTTGGCGTACAACGCTGATGTTACTTACATGACACATTTCGAATCTTCCCGTTCCACGTACGTACATAAAAGGTCTTGAAATTCTCAAATGATTCGAAATGAACCACGAATGCACGTACAAGTGTGTGTTTTTATTATTAGCATCGACCGCGCTAACCGGCTGACCAATGAAAAGACGTCAGTCTTAGTGCGGTTGAAAACAAAAAACACTTTTATCTACCATGAACTGGGACCCCGTGAGGGGGCAGCATGGGGGAGGCTAAACTATCCTTCGGATCAAAAACAGAAACAGCAGCAACAGAAG